GACTTCGTTGGCTGAAAAACGAAAACAACTCCAAACGGGTCTTTGTGCTTCCAAGGGTTACACACACACTTAGATTCATAGTTCCAATGAAGGAACGTCAATTCCAGTAGTCGCCATTGAATACTTAGCACTTGGCTTGCAGGAACAGAATGGGGAAGAGTTCGTTTAAACGGCAGCAGCTTAGTGCGTTAGACCTTGCCTTGAGTTGGAGGTCATCGCTCTTAGGTCGCAGGCCGTTGAAAGCAGGTTGAGGGGCCATCGCTAGTAGGTTGGTGACAAGAAACTGAAAGACAAGAAACACAAGACGGCCAAGGTTAGAGGCCATTGAAGGCCCGCACTGCAGGTTTGGGGGCCTACCTGAAGACCTAAACACCTCCTGGGACAACATCAGGTACATGAACCACCATAAAACAAACCAGGCGACCACAACCAAGCAACAGTTTACAGCGCAGGTACAGGTGGATGATCAGTCCACCCTTCCCCGTCATACCGTAGATTCATTGCATCCGGTAGGTATGACGAGCCGTACGCCCTTGCTGAAATTAGACCAAGAATCTCCTGGAGACGGAGGTGGACACACACAGGTAGCCGCATTAGATAGCTTAAGGATTGCCTGGGTTCTAGTCCAGGCCGGCGTTCACTTGACTAAACAGACCTGGTTACCCATCCAAAAAGCATCTAGAAGAGAGTCAAACCTAGAAAGAGAAACAAAAAGCAGGAGCCGAGGGGTAGGGTCGACGAAACGAGCCTCAAAAGCAACCTAACACGCCTGAAGAAACACCTAACAAACAATCAAAAACGCAAGAGAGAAAAGGAGGGGCGGGGGGAGATTGGAGAAAGTTGAATTAGTTTGCACGCATGAAAAATCTGAAGATATTTCAATGAGTTTTTCCGTGTGCTCGGCAGCATAATAACCAGTAGATCCGTGCAGAACGGTTAATCAGTCGATGGCTTCCGGTGCATGCACTCTTTCAGAGAGGTGATTCCCCGATTGACTTCACACTGCATACCCAAGTGGGAAGATGCAGCAGGTCACACTTAGGTTCATAGTTCTAATGGGGGAAGGTCAAGTCCAGTAGTCTCCAATGAATACTTGGCACTTCGTTTGCAGGAACAGAATGGTGAAGAGTCCGTAACAGGTATTGCTCAAACGGCAGCAGCTTAGTGCATTGGACCATGACTTGAATTGGAGGTCATCGCTCTTAGGTTAGAGACCATCGAAAGCAGGTTGGGGGGCCATCGCTGGTAGGTTGATGACAAGAAACTCCAAGACAAGAAAAACCAGACAGCCAAGGTTAGAGGCCATTGCTAGTAGTTGGAGGCCATCGCAACCAGGTTGAAGGCCCGCACTACAGGTTTGGCGGGCCTACCTGATGACCTGAACACCTCCTGGGACAACATCAGGTACATGAACCACCATAAAACAAACCAGGGGACCACAACCAAGCAACAGTTTACAACGCAGGTACAGGTGGATGATCAGTCCACCCTCCCCTCGTCATACCGTAACTTCATTGCGTCCGGTAGGTATGACGAGCCGTGCCCCCCTGCTGAAATTAAACAACGAACCTCCTGGAGACGGAGGTGGGCACACACACACAAGACCACTTTCAAAAGTTGAACGCAACACGGGCCAAAGACATAAGGACATTAATCAGCTGATATGGAAAAGCTGAATAGAAATGAAGGAAGGCTGCAAACAAGTATGCATAATACATATTGTGCTTCACCCAACACCGTGCAGCATGTACTGAAAATAAGTGGCCGGCCAAGCTCCTTGCGGAAGGGCCAGGGCAATGGGATCCCACACAAGTCTTTTGTAGCGTTCTTGCTTTGGGAACCAGCGGCTGGCTCCTGTGCCCGGAAACCTTACGTTTCTACCGTATCTAGATACAGAACGGCAGGCCCCGGAAGTGCACTTTTTCACTATTTTCAGTGGTCTGGAGGTGTATATTTTCCGTATTTTGCAAGGATCCAGTCAGATGAATTGCCAAGGACATCTCAACTGGTGTCCTCCTTTGGACACCCCCCCACCCCCAAACCAAAAAAATTACCCCAAAAAACAATCCTGACAGACTCTTTGGACACCCCCCCACCCCCAGTCCAAGACCTCCCAGGAATTGTTTTTTTTTGTTGTTTTGGTTTTAGTGGTTTTTTTGGTTTGGGGGTGGGGGGGTGTCCAAGACCTCCCAGGAATTGTTTTTTTTGGTTTACTCCCTGAACAGTCTCCTAGGGTTGTTTATTGTTTGACACCTACCCCAAGACAAGACTTCTGAAGAGGTAGTTATTTGTGTTTCTTTTGTTTAGTGTTTTTCCTTGATCTGTGGGCACTTCTTGAAGATAACACGCTAAAGCACACCAAAAACATGTTTTCAGAAGTTTGTCCTTTGTGGGAGGGTTCAGTCAAGACTCTCATAAATATACATATTTGTGTTTTCTTAAGGTGTTTTTGGTTTTGGCCCATGGGGTCTGTATTTATGTGTTCCATAAAAAGGTTTGATTTTTCAAGTGGCAGGTACATATATATATATATGTATTTGCATACACTTAAAGAAAACACACATCTCTGGAAAATTTACTTTGCCAGATATCCAGAGGAAAACTATAAAAATGACAGCGTTTAAACAAAGTTTTTCAATGTAGAAGTGATCAACCCCAGAGATCTGGAGTTAAGTTTGTGCAAGACACTTTTATCTGTTTATACTGAGTTTTTTAAGTATAGAAATATTTATTCACAGAAATCCTTTCTTGTGAAATACACAGCTTTTATATATAAGCTTTAAACAAATCATCATGCCCAAAGATCTGGGGGACAGGTTTTGAAATGCACACTTGGATATTAGTCTTGAATATAGAAGTGATCAATCCCAGAAATCTAGGGAACAACTCTGGGAATAAACACTTACAATGTAGAAGGCAATTTTAAATATAGAAATGATCATTCTCAGAAATGAAAAAGTAAGCTTTAAAATAACTGCTTATATACATGATTTTTTACATGTGGAAATGTTTATTCTCAGAGATTTAAAGGAAAGCTTTTGAACAAAAAGGCTTTCAAAAATAGCTTTTTAATATAATAAATCCTGAAAATCCAAAGATGAACAGGAAAACTCTTGAATTAGCAGCTTTAACATGTGTTTTATAGAAGGGATCATTCCAGAGATCTAGAGGAACACCTTTCACATAGAAATTTTTATATAAAGCTTTCTTAATATAGAAATGATTATTCCAAATATTACTTGAACAAGTCTATCTATCTACCTAGTTCCCAGCACTCCCAGGGCAATAAAACACTGTAAAACACATGATTTTTATATCATTTTGTCTTAAACTCATGCCCCCCCAGCAACATCTGCTCTCTGGAACTAAATTAGACTTGACCAAGAATCAAATTTTCAACGTCGAAATATAATAGACTATTTTCTAAAAAATATGGGATTTGGCCCTATAGTGATTATGCCAAAGTTTTACTCTACCTTAGTTTAAAGAAAAAATAGCTTTTGCAGTAAAGGTACCCTTCTCACAGCCAATTGTCTTGCCAAATTCTCACCTTCTACCTCTGCTGAAGGCAGACATGTCAGATAACTCAGCAGAGCTCAAAAATTGGTGAAAAAGTGCACTTCCACAGCCTGCCGGACTCTTTAGATATGTGTGTGTGTCAACCCCTGTTCCAAAGGGTTCCGCGTTTCTTGGTGTTTCCACGTGCAAGCAGGGGGCAGCAGGGAATCCACAGTTCTGCTGCCAACGAAGACAGCGGTGGACATTCCGTGAAGCAGATTGGGACCTCAATCTGTGTACCTGCCAGGAAACTGTTGATCACGCTGTCCAATTTTCCTTTTTGTTTTCATGGTGGTTCATGATACCTTCCCCCAAACCTTTTGCCGCTTTCTCGCTGACGTTCGCCACCGCAGACATGTCAACAGTTTGTTCAAACAATACAAGTGCGCTGACCTTTTCACCTTGCGTTTCCCTCACCTTCCTTCTCAACGTGGGAATTGAGTTAACAGCAAACCAATGTCAGAGTGTGAGCCGCTCAGCCGTCCCACTTGGGTGCTGGGTGTGATCCTCCGCAAGG